CCCCAGTGAGGGCCTGCCGAACCCCGGCTGCCCCGGGAAGACTCGGCAGAGCCTTTTCCCACCTTCTTCCAGCCCGGTGAGCTTCCCGTGCACGTGCAGCTGGCTGAACAGGGCTCTTCATCACCCAGCGAGGATGCACCTCGCCGTGATGAAGAGCCAGGCTCTTCATCACCCAGGAGATGCAGGCAAAAAAGGGAGCTTACCCTGCCGGGGCAAAGCCATCCGCGCCGGTCACGCCGAGGATGAGGAGGAGTCCCGGGAGCAGGCAGCTGATGTGGCGCATGTCCCGTCCCTCCCGCGGCGCCCCGGGCTGTGCGGCACGACTGAGTCTGGCTCCCTGGTGGGATGCGCTGGCTCCTACCGCATGTCTCGCCCTTCAGCGGGCAACCCTGCCACCGAGAGAAGAGCCGTGTCACCCCAGCTGGTGACATCTGACGGAGCCGTGGGGACAGGGCCAGCCCCTGCTCCCGGGGTCGGAGGGATGGCGCCGGGTGTGCACGGACCCTCGGAGGGCAGCGCAAGGGGCTGGGGCAGGAGCACCCTTGCTGGCAATACAGGGGCAGAGGGGACACGAGGAAGCCACGAATCCCTCCTAAGGCGGGCGCTCCTCCAGGCACAAACCCACTTCTCCCCACACATTCCAACGGCGTGGCAGCGATTGACGCCGGGGGACGCCTGGCCCGGCACACAGGAGGTGCCCTCGGTGGCACCGGGGGCTGCACAGTCGCTCGTCGAGGGGTAGGGAAGGGACCTGAGTCGCTCTGCCGTACGTTGCCAATTCCAGGCAGCGAGGGCAAAACAATGGCCCCTAATTTCTCAATCCATACAGCATTGTAAAGCGGCGTTTTCCCACCACAAAACACACTGAAATCTGATCTTCTTCTCTTTAAAATAAAAGTTCTTGCCAGAGGAAAGTGCTGCAAGGGCCATATGTACCGTCTGCGGAGTCAGTACTAACCGAGCCGCAAATAAAAGGGCTTTGATTTTCTAGCAGAGGACAAATATGAAACAAGGCTGAAGACGGTCAACAACAGTATCTAATTTAAACAATATATCTGCCTTAAACAAAACAGTTGGCCTCCGGATGGCAGCAGTAAAAGGAGGAAGAAATAAAGAAACCCACCTTAAATATATGCTAACTAAATAAAGAATCAGCCTTTCTGATTAAATCTTGAGAAAGGAGTGGCTTTATGGGGAGGCGACACAACAAGAAACATCCTTCTGAGACTGCAAATATTGTGAGCTGCAAATAAACTTTCTAAAATCCCCAGGTGGGGTGGGGTGGGACTGGACCGGAGAGTTGCAGGTTCACCCGCAAACTCTTTTGGGACAATTCCTAACTCCGAGCCAAGTTGTTAGGGACTACCATCCCGAATCTGTAGACCCTGCAGGTCTCAAAGCCCTTCTCCAAGGCACCCAGCATCATCTTTGCCTTTGTGCAGGTAAAGAAAGTGAGGCACGGAGAGATGCAGACCTGCATCTGGAGAGAAACCAGCCTGGTGCTTTGAGGACGTAGGGAGGATTTTGGTGACATAAAGCCTATAGTCCTCCATTCACCTCCAAATGTAGCAACAAATTTCATCTTCTAATGGTTAATATATGGTATCTCCACCATCAGGAAACCAAATCTTGGTTGACCTGCAGGAAATTTTTTTTAAAAATAGTGAAGAAACCTTCTCTCTCCCCAGTCCTCCTGGAGACTAACTCCCCACTGCTCAGCCAGGCGGCTTTTCCCAGAGCTATACTGGGACACAGATTTTCCTTATAATCACAGATCCTCAGACTAGCAGTGCTTCTCCAGGAGCCTGTAAGTCAAACTCTGCCAACCATCTCCATCCTCCCACAAGATTCCCGTGACTGCTGTGGGAGCTTTCCCTGTGGGGAAGGCAAGAAATGCAGGGCACAAGCCTAAAATATAGACAGTTTGTTTTTTCGCTTTGAAATGGAGCAGCATTGCCTTACCTCAAGCGGTCAGAGTATCCCCTCTGGGTCATAAAATTATGGTTGCTTCATACCAGAAAAAGTTTCAAAAGTGGAAAATGCAATAGTCTATACTTGTCTTTTTTATGAGTTTATGAAAATCAGCCCCTTTAAAGCTGCAGAAGATCCACTACCTGCTCTAATACTTCTCTTTTAAAGCACGTAACTTAAGGAAAATCTTTTCATACTGAAGAAAATAAGAGGGTTTTTGTGACTGCCTTTCTAGTCTCTCAAACGAAGAGGGGAAGCCCCATGGTCTGGCAAGTGAAACTATGCGGGTGCATCCGAGCTTCTGCTGTTTCAGAGGGCACCAAACTCTCCTCGGCTGGCCATGTGCTCCTGTGAGTCTGGGGGTCCCTCTCCCACCAGCCAGAGACGTTCTCGTAACTGAAGAAAATAAGAGGGTTTTTGTGACTGCCTTTCTAGTCTCTCAAACGAAGAGGGGAAGCCCCATGGTCTGGCAAGTGAAACTATGCGGGTGCATCCGAGCTTCTGCTGTTTCAGAGGGCACCAAACTCTCCTCGGCTGGCCATGTGCTCCTGTGAGTCTGGGGGTCCCTCTCCCACCAGCCAGAGACGTTCTCGTAACTCTCCTGAGTTTGCTCTTGCCTAACCACC